ACTGCAGCAAACTAAAATAGGCTTTAAAGATATGCCTGGAGAGATTGCAGTTTTTTGTAAAATGTTTGTAAATTGTTATGGGGAAAATCATTTTATTAAGTTATTGTGGGTGTTATAAATATATACAAATTTTTATGTTAGACTATAGCTTTTTTATAATTATCATACATTAGTAGATCGGATTGTAAAGGATAGTAAACCCACCCCTCACATAAGTTTATGGGAAGTAGAAGAAAACAATAGTCAAATAAAACTGTATAGTCTAAAAAGTAAATTGATGAGAAAGTTGTCCCAAATAAATATGAAGGCCCCTACTATTTCATTAAATTGATTTTAGTCTCATTGTTGACTTAGGCTTCGTTTGAGACGGCTTTCTTATTGCTTCTTAAAGCAACTTTTTAGTAAAAAATTAAAAGCTGCTTTAAAAGTATAAAAAATCGTTCCAAACGAAGCCTTAAAATTCATGATATGTTAAATCTTACCATTCATGGAATCTACTAGATTTATTATTTTTTCAACAAAACTAATTTTTTTGAATGAAATAGTCAAATAGTTTATCAAATTGTTAATAGTTTATCAAATTGTTGCAAGATTCAACAGTTGCCATAAAAATAGTTTATCAAATTGTTAATAGTTTATCAAATTGTTGCAAGATTCAACAGTTGCTAGATTTATTATTTTTTCAACAAAACTAAATTGTTGAATGAAATAGTCAAATAGTTTATCAAATTGTTGCAAGATTCAACAGTTGCAAGATTCAACAGTTGCAAGATTTATTATTTTTTCAACAAAACTAAATTGTTGAATGAAATAGTCAAATAGTTTATCAAATTGTTGCAAGATTCAACAGTTGCCATATAAAAATTTCTCAAATTTTAATTCCCCTAAAATTTACTAAATCCCAATTGAGTTGTTCCTAATTGTTGCCCATCAGCCCCTTATTCAGTATATTTTTCTCCTTACAACATTATCTTTGAGCATGTGTACTGTGCACAGGCCAGACCGCAAGAGCTTACATTGGAGGACTTTGTAAGGCTGTACAATTTGCTATCGAAAACGGATCAATCAATCCCTCAATCTGTGATTCAAATCCAATGAGAGGATGGAAGTTCAAATGGTTCCCTGCCACAAGGTCAGTTTATGTACAGTTTCTTAATCGTCATTAACAGTAGTTATAGATGGTATATAATTATAATATGCATAAGCAAGAGGTTATTAGGCGGCTAGTTTTCTTCACAATTAATCTTGTCTAATAAGCTATGGAGAGGAGAAATTCAATGTGCCTTGTTCACTCTCTCTCTCTCTCTCTCTCTCTTATTTTTAAGGTTTGAAAGATCTATTTTTATTTTGATTGTTAGGATTTCAATAATCTAATCACATGCCTATTATTTAAAAATGTTGTAATCTCATACAAATTTAATGGCATAACTGAGCAAATTCCCTCAAAAATTGATAGGACAGAATGTTAATTTGTGTAGGGATTTTATTAGAGAATTCTTATTTGTTCATTTAGTTTCTTATATATATATATATATATATATATATATAGAATTATTATTTTTGAAACATTTAGGCCAATTAAGGCAAATTCACACACACATCACATACGAAACGTTGTATTGCTCAGTATTTGCTTGGTATTTATCGTTTTGTGCCTACGATCTTAGTGCCAGCCGAATGTAGCTCTACATATGTTCACCGGACCAAATAAAAGTTCCCGTTATGGGGAGTTTTTCAATATTTCTTTTTTGTCTTATATAAATGGTATGGATATTAAATGCACTCTCATTATAATATTTATTTCAAAATAATTCTAATTATTTAAATTTTATAATAATCAATTTTTATTCTATTGTTTGGAAGTCATATTTCCACATCTATGCTTTTTTCTTATTCTGTCATCGTCATATTTGAACATCTGGACGTAAGTTACGTCCGGCGTTTGCGCATAATAATTTCTCCGTTATGGAAACTTTTATTACGTCCTCTGACCGGACGTAGCTCTACGTTAGGTCAGAGGATTGTTACTCGGTTTTTGCTCAGTATTTGGTCGGTATTGTTTGATAATAACGAGGAATACCACTCTGTGAATACCAATACCGAGTAATCTCAAAAAATACTGAATTTTTCTAGAAAAAACTCAATATTTTTTGGGATTAATCGGTATTGCTCGGTATTTTGTCTTCACATAATGGTATTTCTCGTTATTGTTGGTATTGCTTGGTATTTGCTCGGTATTTCTCGTTTTGTGCCTGCGATCTTAGTGCCAGCCGAACGTAGCTCTACGTACGTTCACCAGACCAAATAAAAGTTCCCGTTATGGGGAGTTTTTCAAGATTTCTTTGTCTTATATAAATGGTATAGATATTATATGCACTCTCATTTCAGCATAAAATTAAAAAGATATATTATAACAATCACGCATATACATCACACGTGCAATTACATTATATATATTTCACATAAAATATTAACCATTTTTATAAACAAATAATTGTTTTCAAAAAAATATACCGAATCAACAACAATATGGGATCAATTACATGAATCCTTTTTCGTCATTATGTTTTGTTAAAAGTTAAATTCTCATTTAAATCTAATAAAGAAATATCATTTTTAATAAATCTATCTCGACCTAAAATAGTATCGACCTAAGTTAGAATGGACCAAATCGAGTATTATAAAAAAATATCAAGTTTTTCTAGAAAAAATTCAGTATTTTTTGGTATTATTCGGTATTGCTCGGTATTACTCGGTATTTTGTCTTCACATAATGATATTTCTCGTTATTATTGGTATTGCTCTATATTTGCTCGGTATTTCTCGTTTTGTGTCTGCGATCTTAGTGCCGGCCGAACATAGCTCTACGTACGTTCACCGGACCAAATAAAAGTTCTCGTTAGAGACGACAACAGAAACCTTTTAAGAAAGAGCAAGTAAAAAGCTTAGTGCAGATTTCAGAAATGTTTTGCTTGCTATTTTTTAAAGTAATTTTTTTATCAATTGTACGTAAAAGCTGTTAAAAATGCAATAAAAAAAATCATCTCAAATAAAGTCAAAATGAAGACTTGAGCTACATACAAACGGGGAGCACTCAAAATTCAGTTTCTTGAGACTTGACAGCAAGTCCTCTGACAATATGCCTGCACTGATACCTACAATAATAAGAAACTATATGTGTGAGATCATCTATCATAACAAAAGAACTTCTTTAGCAGTTTCAAACAAGCTTAAGTATAAAGCGAAAGTGCTAAAGGTTAGGAGTGTCAATAATGACCCGATCCGTTACTTCGATCCGAAGATTTTGACTATAGGTTAACATTAGGATTGGGTTTTCAATCCTTTTATAGGTTGGATTCAGGTCACTAGCAGGTTAATTTCGGATTTGGATTTGGATAGACTAAATTTTGGGTCGGAGCCAAAGCCAACCCATCAACACCCCTACACAGGATGCATTTTCTATAAAAAAAGTTGCCATTCGGAAAGGAAAGTTTTATTTTCTTTTGAATGGCAATTCATCTACACTGTGTAGGGGTGTAAGTGGCTAGAGCACGACTCGTTTATGGGCTCGCAAGCCGAGTTTATTGAGCTCACAAGTCAAGGTCGAGCTCGACTTCAAGCTCATTTAATAAACGAGCTCAAGTTCAAGCTTCAGCCGGCTCGACTCGTGAGCTTGCGAGGCGGCTCGAATAAAAATTAATATTTTTAAAATAATTTATTTATTTATTAAATTTAAATATTAAAAATTTAATAAAACTACCTAATTTTTATTTAAATGTTAAATATTTCAATTTTTTTCTAAATTTTGATTAAGTTAAAAATTCCCACTACATTTTAAAATTTCCACCCATAGCTAGCGAGCGGGCATGAGCTCATTTACAGTGAGACAAGCTTGAACTCGAGCTCTCCTGTCGAGCTCGACTCAAGCATGAGCTCGCCTGTCGAGCTCGACTCAAGCTCGCTTTCCAACTGACGAGCCGAGCTCGTTAAAGACCTAAACTCGACTCGTTTACACCCCTAACACTGTTATCAGAATTTAATAAAAAAATAAATAAAAGTGTCATTCGAATAACAAATTACCATATCATATCACTCACAGCCGTATCAGTTGATTTACTGGGATTAGTTTGGTCTGGGTTGCAATGCAAATTATTCACGTTTTGATCTCCAAACTTATACTTAATATGCAACTTGATTGGCAGCACCTGTAAAAAATTTAAAGCACAGAGCAAATACATAAGCATGAAACATTTCTAGTGTCACAACAAACATTGTGTATCAATGTTGAAACCTGATACCTTTCTGTTGAATCTGAAATCACGCTTGGGCAAGAAATGCAATGGCGATTTGAAGGAACAGGGAGATTTAATCATCAGAAACAGCTTAGTTGGACCTAACAAACAACTTAGTTTAGCGCCCAGCTTCGAGAGATTATTCTGTGCAAACACCGGACGGAGAGAACCATCTAGTTTTTCTCTCTGTCTACAGCAAAGGCGCAGTCAAAATACAGTTACTGTAGCAGCTGTGCTGTAACTGCGCTTTTACTGTAGAAAAAAAAAACGGACGGTTCTCTCCGTCCGATGTCTGCAGACAATAAAAAGTCCCCAGCTTCAGTTACACTTTTGTAGGAAACCATGACTAATTTTAGCACAAAAAAAAAACCTGAGAAAGAAGAACTTCCTGCACCATTGGAAAGCAATGCTCGAACAGCCTGTTAAGGAAAAACAAGTCATCAATATAAAAATAAGCTCCAAGTTAGGAGAAATTATTAGATGCAGACAATGTAGGTAGCACATCATACCAATAATGCGAATGATCGTACAACGATTTTTTTAGGTCAAAACAAGTAAAAAACTATAAGCTATAATACAATGTCCGCACCCAATAATTTCTCACGACTTAAAAATGAATATGAATGAGAGAACCTTTCTTAAAAGAATTTCTGCTACTTTACTTTTAGCGTTGTGATTCGCACTGTCAGAAATAATCTTGAAATGAGAAAAGAAAATCTCGTAAACATGTTGGGGGCGTGCAAGGCTTCCTCCAAGAAGGAACGTAACGCCATCAAAACCAGGAATTCCTTCAATTGCTTCTTGAAGAGCAGAAGATAAAGTAGATATGCTATTAATCAACTTTTCCAGCCTTTTTATGGCTGATTTCACTTCAATTTTTCTCATATTAGTCTTTCTAGAAACCTTCCTCTCCTTCCTCTCTAATTGAGCACTGTATGACACATCCTATAAACACCGAAAAAAGATTAAAAAAAAAAAGTTAGATTTTGTAGCCCACAAGGCAGGATTATATTGACTGAGGAGCATACCAAATGTTTATAATCTTCCTTCAAGCCATCAAATTCGTGTTCAAGATTCTGCAAAACGCTGAAAGAATGGCATCAATAATACCATTAGCCTTTTGATGATAGCAAAAACATCTCGTATAAATTTATCTAAAGGTTTGAGCTGGATAAAATTAACCATCTTATGAAGAAATATTCAAAAGAAATTACGGAGGAAAAAAAAAAAAAACAAAGCATGAGTCAGGACTCCATTCTAAAATGTAAACAAAAGCAATCAGGTCGAAGCTTAACTAGAAAAATGTTGAATTCCTGACAAATCACTTAGATGAGTCAACCACTAGCTTCCAAGCTTAAGCTTTAGAAGCTAAAAAAGAATAATAACAATACGTCGTGGGTTTCACTTAATGGTTCTGCTCTCATGAATATTCTAAGTGGATGAGGACCATGTCACTCCCTCTTTAGCTGGCTTCAGCGCTTGCTCTTATAGTGTTGTCACGTATTTTTCATGCAACTTCATTGCCGGCTAAGAAGCCTCTTCACTTGCTTTTCATCATATGCTCCAAAATAGGTTTCATCGACCATTCTACTGCACCTACGTAACCAACCTTAGTCAGTTATGTCATTTATGCTTCCTTGTCGAACTCTATTATTTGCTCCTACTAGGACTTTGAGGTTGACTCCCATGTGACATCATTGCATGCTATTAGACCGGTCCCTGTTGGACCGGTCCAGTCGACCCCTTGCGAAGGGCCGACCCATGTCTACAGAAGGGCCGACCCATATTCTAAGTAGCAATGCTTTACAGAGATTCTGCCCAAACCATGAATCCATGAAAATCTTCCTCATATATGAGGTATTCAAAAAAGGATCATTAGCAAATGATCAAAAATCACCAAGATGGCTCTCAATCATGTGGTGAAGATATCCTGACACAAGTCCATTAAAGGGTTCACCACTAAATGCAGCACTAAGAGAGGAAGCTAAAGCAAAGATGGGATTCTAAATTAATATATATATATATATATATATATATACAAAGTGTATCAAAAATCAAAAGATGTGCAATTGTAAGGAAACCAATCAGCTTTGTAGCTTCAAAGGAACATAACAAATCCTTGTTGGTCTTGATTTATTCAATTAGAGTAAGATTGAAGTCATTGAAGAAATGCCAGTGACAGTAGCTCTAAAAAATTTAATCTATCCTTAGTGAATTCTACCCACTTTCTCTTAAACAAGACTATGGTCGCATAGGGAAAGTCCTTAAGTCAAGCAGGGCCTCTTGACCATTGAGCGTACTTCCAATTCCATGGCTCAAAGAAGCATGGCTATGATTGTCTGAAGAATCTCTTATCTCATAATTAACCATTTTAATTTTCATTTACGGGGATTCAGAACGAATCACAAGGTAGATACCTCCACCCCAATCCAGTAAAAGCTCTTGAAGAGCCATTGATGCGTTTCCTTTGAGCATATCATGTGCACAAATGCTTCTGAGATATAAACAGCTAAGCACTGCAAGTCTTTCCCAGCAAATGGAGTTCCCGAATATGTTACATACATGCTAAGGAGAACTAAATCACATACAATCTAGTACTGAAGGCTCTATACCATTATATAAGATTCCTGATTAGTACATTAAATAACATGTTAGAATTTGTTTGTCAACTCATATCATTTTTTTTCTTATATAATTTATTTGGCCGCTCATGCATGAGTCTAATCCCACCGTTCCTACAACTACAAGTTTTGATAAAAAACAAATGAGTAAAAACTAAGGGGCTGTTTGGTACCATGATTTAGGCCGCATTTGAATTGGATTTGAGCAAAATCCAGCCAAACTGCCTAAAATGCAAAACCTATTAAGGATCAATACCTGGATGATTCTAAAGCCAAGAAAGGACAGCCATGACTCTCACCAGTTATCCTTGTACACGTGTAACCAGTTTAGGCTTGCTGTCTAGTTTCCTTTGGTTATTAATAGTCCATTAGCTTTGTACTCAGGACATGGAATTACACAATGATTTCTTAGCTTTTCTCTTGTTCTTTTAGCTTTGCCTGTTAGTTTAATCACTTGTACAGGTTTTCAAAACCAAATCTCACGCCAAATGAAAACCTTCCTAGATGGAAAACTTCACCTTTTCGTGCTAAATCTCAGATTTCCGAAATCCTGTTTTTTGTCAGATTTATGAAATCCGTTGGCTTGAGAGTAAGTTGGCTTGAGAGTAAGAGACCGCTCGTTAAATCTATTCTACAACCAAATAGTCACACGAGATTTAATGGGATTTACCATGAATATTACCAAACAATTTTCAGGATTTAGGCCCCTCAAGATTTTCAAAATCTGGATTTAGTGGATTTACGAAATCCTACTTAAACCAAATCATGGGTGCTACCAAACAGCCCCTCAAAGCTCCATATTGAGATAAAGCCCAAAATGTAAAGATAAAAGTAAGTTCATCCCTATTAACAATGCAAAAGAGATGGAAAATATGAAAAGAATGGAAACTCAATTCAGTAAACACACCTAAAAACACAGTCATAGCCATATGCTTTTATTCAGCGAACTATAGCAATAGAATAAACATTCACCAAACTGAAGGAATCAAGGAATAGTTCTTAGCAATCACGACCAATACAGAATCAGAAGTGAAACTTTGACAACATTATAGCAGAGATGGACGAAGATGAGGATCAGGTGTTTAAGTTATCGGGGAGAGAAGAAAGGACCGTCCGATTACCTGGGTATCTGCTCGTGCATATAGAGGATGAACCCTAGCACCTCCTTCACAACATGGAAGATATCAGATCTGCGAAGGCTCTCCGCTGCAATCTCGATCTTCGTAAACCCTGAACTTTCGCCGGCAGATTCTAGGGATCCCATAGCGCCTGAGAATCCACACTTACGAAAGCACGAATTTGAATTCTGACTCTGAAGCGGCAAACGATGATCACCAGAGCTATTTATAATTTTATATATAGCTGATTTACCTTATCGGACCATCATCTGAAATACTGTCGGCCTATCGGGTGAGATATTATATCCGAATCCGATAATTTTTTTAATAATATTTAGACCAATTAAGATAAAATTCTTAAACATATTATATATTGCAAGACTCGAACCAAATATATTTTATTAATAGTCAAAGCTCCCAACTGACAAATTAAGATAAGTTGCGTACTAAATGGATTTGACTTTTAGTGGACTCTGATTGATTGATTATATTCACGTCAGATCATTTTTTCGCTGGATTTAATATGCACTGATAAGTGAGTCAAGTCAATTCGTGAGTCATCTCGAACTCGACTTGATAGATGCCTCGTTAGTCTAACTCGAGCTAATGAGTTGAACTTCACTCAACCTTAACTTGACTTAAAATATTGTTATTAATTACACTTAAAATACATTAATATTTAGTAGTTCAAGCATAAAATTATTCAAAATTTTAAAAAATTATCTCACATTTTTATGTTAGTTGATTTATATTATTTTTCTTCTAAATTCTTTTTTATAATTTTACTATAATAATTGGTTAAAACATATTTATTTTCTCTCTTTTGTTATAAATGAGTATGATCATGAGTTGACTCGAACTTGTAGTATTAAGCTCACGCTAGAGTTCAAACTCGATTAAGAAGTGACTTGAGCTCAATTGGACTCATTTATACCCTTAAGCCCTACCCATGAATTTACATTTCAAGGTCATGTAGCATATGCACAGTGCTTCTAATCATAAAGAAATTCTTGATCATATTTCATATCATTAAGGTTTACTAGAATAAAATAGGAGAGAGGAGATGATTTACAAGAACAAAATATGAGAGAGGAGATGAAGGAGAGACCATTACACATTCACAAATTAAAAAAAATAATAATAATGATATAATCTAATATTCAATTCACTTCTTCGCTCAAGCGTGCTAAAATCTACAAATCATATACTCATTAGTTTTACTTAACTTTCTCATGTCTTAATTTATTTTAAATAATAGATGAAAAAGTAAAGTTCAGCTAAAAAAAAAAAAATCTTTACAATAACAAATGTATCAATCTCAGATCAGACAAAAGCTTCATTTCAACAGCTTTTTCATTACTTTTTAATACAAAAATTTCTAACTCATAAATTTTGATACAAAAAATTTGCTTTAAAAAAATCATCCTAAATGCCTAAGATTTCGAGTTCGTTTGGGACGACTTTTTTATTGCTTTTTAAAACGAAGTTTTAGTAAAAATTTTTTTATTTTTGTACTAAAACTCCGTTTTAAAAAACAATAAAAAGCTGTCCCAAACGAAACCTTCATTGAGAGAACTTTCTTATTATTTTTTAAAGCGATTTTTAGTACATAACTTTTTAGTTAAAGAAATTATTGTACTAAAAAATTATTTTTGGAAGCAGTAAAAATATTATTCCAAAAAAAAAACCCTAAATATAATAAAGTTAATTACTGTTCATATTTGTCTCAATTTTTAACTTTTTTTAACTCATTTAAACAAAATCATCAAAAAACAAGTCAAACACAAATGATTGCAAAGCCAAAAGAGACTTGTTCCCGATCACTGAACATAATAGAGCATTTAATCCAAGGGATTGCGTTCAAGTAAATTAAAAACACTAAAAACACTTGCATCATTAAACACTAATATTTTTTTTCTAATAATTCAAATCAGCTTTCAGGACTCTCATGCTTCAGTTTCCTTTCCCAAGAAAAGACTAACTATTCCTCCCTGAAAATCGCAAGGAAATACTTCTTCAATAGGCAAAAAGAATCGCGTGTTACTTAAAAGCAAATATGGCAAATCTTTCATGAAAGAAGTTTAGGCTTCATTTGGGACGGCTTTCTTACTACTTTTTAAAGCAACTTTTTAGTAAAAAAATATTATACTAAAAAGTTGCTTTAAGAAACAATAAGAAAATCATCCCAAACGAAATCTTAGAGTTCATTTGAGACGGCTTTCTTACTGTTTTCTAAAGCAACTTTTTGGTACAAAAAATTTTAATTTTTATACTAAAAAGCTGCTTTAAGAATAAGCAAAAAAAACCGTTCCAAACCAAGCCTTAGTTACCTGTGGCTGAAGAAGTACCGGTCTGACCTCTTGCTTCCTGCTGCTGCTGAGTAATTTTTAAAGCCTTGAGCTTAGACGCAGAAGTCTTGATGGAATGAATAAGGGGCTGCTGCTCTTCTTCATCGTCATCGTCCTGACTATTCTGCTCTGTAATGCTGATAGAATCTTCTCCACTGGAACCCTCACCATGAAAGAGTTTCTTTCCCTCCATGTTCCTTACTTTCCTCGGCCGTCCTCGCCGTCTTACGGCAGTCCCATCTCCCTCATCTGCAGATATATTATGACATACAGTTTCAGTGGATTCTGTCTTAATAAACTTTTTTTTTTTTTCGTAGGATAAGCGCTCCTGTTCCTAATTGTTCTAAGTATGAAACAATATTCAGCCACATTGGCTTTGAATTTCCAAGAGCTTTCAAGCAAGGTCCTTGAAATTAATCCTTCAAATGAAAATTAAATCGTTTTAAAAGAAACAAAGATTATGTGTAATGTGTAGCACGGATTAAATGTATTAAAATATATGCAAACACTTCTAGAAATGCATAAGTTGCTTTATTTCCAACATATCAAAAGGAGCATGATGGGAACTAGAAAGGTTTAAGCCTGATGAAGAACACAAAAGAAAGTAGGATACGACTCAATCCAAATCTTAGAAAGCAAAATCACATAAACATGAAACAAACTGAAATGATTTTTTTAGAAGAAAGAAAACTAAAAGAAAATACCCTTAGAACAACCAACTAGTGGTCACCTCACACGTAACGATAAATTAGGTAAATAGAATGCTCAAGGACATGCAAACCAGTGGTCCACCATAACAACTTTGATCCAACGTCCGCCACAACTCCTCCGGCAAATACCAACAAAAACCAACCAACCAACACCACTCTCACTTTTAGAATGATACAATGGGATGGAAACTTTGTGGAGAGAAGAAAGGGTTAGGAGACTTGGAAGAAGAAACAAGTAGGGAATAAGTAGCTCTCAAGCTAGAGAAGAAGATGATGTAGAACTACGTATGAATGCAATGAGTTTTGTTAAGAATTTGCACAAATTTGGAATAGGAAAATAATGAAGAAGCTAATAGCAATTAAAACAACAAATTAAAACGAAAATGGGGTCACGCCCGCTTAGGCTAAGTCACATAACCAGAGATTTGAAACTTTCAAAATAAATTAGTAAACAACGCATGCCAGAGTAGTAGTTTCAATAAAAATCCCTAGCCTAACAATGAGAATTAGTAGAAAAAGAAGTACACTCAAAACTCTACGTTTACTAAGCTTAGCAGAAGCAGGTAGAAGCGTCCGTCGTGACTACAATCAATTCACAAGCAAAGTAAGGCTAAAGAAATACTAGAGGAGGCGGGGTAGAGAACCTTCGTCAAGGATTGGCGGCGATCCTTCACTCAACGATCTCTAGTTGTTCTTCAATGGCCTCCACCAAAATATCTAGGATGCGCTCGATGTAATCTTCCACGGAATGGTCGATCCTTGGGTTGACGTCGAAGAAGGTTGAATGTAAGATGCACACAAACCCGTGCTGGTCGTAGGAGAGGCCGTATTCAGTTTCTGGATCCGCCATTCATCGACGCTAGATGACCTCGTCTTCCAAAGGTTGCTAGCGCTCTTGAATATTGTTGGAGAGAAAGAAGTTTCTCTCCAACTAAAGTCGGGAGGGGGGCGGCCAATGGAGGAGAGCTTCCAAGGGTTTTACTTTAGACTTGAGAGGGAGAAAGAATAAAACCTGAAATAATTTCAGATTTTGGAGAGGAGGGGAATTGGAATTTGAAATAATTCCAAAGGAAAGGAGAGGGAGGAGGGCGGCGGCAAGGTGAGAAATTAGGGATTTAACTTTCCAAATATCAAATTCAGATTTTGAAAAGAAATAAGGAGGTGTGAGGTTATGAGGTTTGACCAAGGAGGGATGAGAGGAATTTGAAATTATTTCCAATAAGCAAAGACTTTGGTTTTAGGAAAGAAATAAATAGAAATTAATGGGATTTGGGGGGGGGGGGGGTCGGAATGCATGAGGGTGGGAGCAATTAGTGAAATTAATTAAGGCTTCTTAATTTAGGTTTTCGAATTAGGAAAGTTTTATTTTAAATCCAAATGAATTTAAAATTCAAAATAGATCTAAAGTTAATACTTTCGAAAAGATTCTGAATTCAAATTCAAATGATTTGAATTTCAAAATTATCATAAATTAATCCTCAACGCAATTCAAGGGAGAAGGGGAGTGGGAGAGGCCGGCGGGTTGGGAGCTAGGGCCGGTGGTTTGGAAGGGATTTTGGGCAAGGTGGCTGGCGGCTTATGAGGGGAAAATTTGTGGAGCTTGTTTAGAAGGATACGATGGCTTGGGATTGGAGATGAAGTTGATGTAATGATGTCCGGTAGTGCTGGTGGAAAGAGAAGGGAAGAAAGATAAGGAAGAAAACCACGAACCCGATCGTCTCCAAGGTCGGTGGGTGATACGATCTCCCTCTCCTAGAAATTTCTCTCCAACCAAACTCTCAAGCCATCACAAGAACTCGTGTAAGGAAGAAATTTTTCATTCAATCATTTATTACCCAAAAAAATAAAACAAGGGCGATAAATAGCCTAGTACACGAGACTCAAGAAATAAAAGACGAAAATGCCCTCGGGGCTTACATACAACATCCCTCACTAAAAGAGTACAACTGGAAATCTCATAAAACAAATACACGACACTGAAAAATAATAAAATACATAAATAAGAAAATAACATGACAGCATAAATGAATAAAAAATACAATGACTCGATCGTGACCATAAATCGGTGGCCACGCCTCTGATAAACCTTCCATGCTCTGATATCCCCATCAAAAACCCCCAGATTTTAGACTTTTTTTCTCTTCCAAAAAATTGCTCACAACAGCCCAAAACTCCACTATAAATATGAAAGAAAAGGAGGCCAACAGCCAGCCACAGCCGCCCCCCACAACCAACGAAAAAGGGGAAGAAAAAGGCAGCATTAAAAGCACGGGAAAAGCCCACCCAAACAGCCAGATAATAGGGAAAACCAAGGGACAGAAAAGGAATTGAAGAGCCAAAGCCAGGGAGCATCAGCTAGAACCAAATAGCCAAGGCCAAGGTAATCGGGAAAGCCAATGAGCAGAAGCAGGAACCAAACAACCAAGCCAGGAACTCAGCAGCTCAACCGCCCCCACCAAACCCAAGTCAGCCTAAACACAAAGCACCCGAAGAGGCTAGCACACCAAAGGAAAAACATGCCAAAAAGTACCTAAATCACACATGATCATCGGTTGCCTTCCATCATTTAGTTAAAAAAAAAAAACATTAAAAAAAAAAACATGAGCATGAAAAATTGAATGCATCAGAGCATAATTAGTTAAAACTCAATAAAGTTACAGGTATTTTAAATACTACTATTAAAACATATCTATGGCTCTAGTACAATATTCATGCAATTTAAATAAAAGAAGTTCCTAATTATGAGGAAGCAACGAATGTTTAGATATACACCATTTGTACATAATTGTACCTTGATGGATAGCATACAATAGTAATAGGCTGTAAGATCATCAAGCATGTCAAAACAACACCGCTTTCAGTTCATTCCATTACAAACAAACACCAACTAAATTCACAGTAATGGAGTTCAAGCAAAAGACAAAAAATCACTAGAAATTTTTTCCATGAAATTCACCTAAAAGACTGATTTCAGTCATTTTCAAATGCTTACGTCCAAAAAAACTAGCCTACAACAAAAACAAGCCAGATCAACATTTAAATGGAAAAAAAGTTGGAGGCTGGAAATGCCAGTTTTGGGAAAAGATACCTAACTGGATCACTTGCCTAAATGTCAACAATAATGAAATTCAACTCAAATTTTAACAACAGGATTCAAAGGCAAAGGCAAGCTTAAATACTCAGACTGTTGATAACACCAAAACTTATCCTATAATTTCATATAAAAGAAAAATTCTTCCAATCAAAATCGTGTTTCCCAAAGGAATATGTGCATTAGATATGAATATCATGCAACTCAAATCTTCTTAAACCTTAAATTGTTAGTCTATGTAAAATATGATTGTATTGATCAATCGGATTGTATTGATCAATCGGATTGTATTGTTGTCTCGGACCTCAAAATTTGTCATGCTCGTTGGGGGTGTGGGGATTCCCGAAAAAATTCGCTTTTTTTCGTACAACGCCATGGCGCTATGCACCCGAGCTCCCCAGCACTGTGCACCATTGTGTACCCAAGCTCCCAGCATTGTGTACCCGAGTGCCCTAACGCTGTGTACCCAAGCGCCCTAGCGCTGGAATGATGAAAAGTGGAAGCACTGCAACACTCTAGATTCGACGTCACAGCGTAGTGCCACAGTTTTACGGGTTTGAGCACCGTAGCAATGGAGAATAGAGGTTTGAGTGCCACAACGTTGTGAGGTGGACTAGACAGTTTTCTTTCTCGTTTTGTTAAGGGTTGCGCCCTTTATGTTAATAACTTGTCTTTCCCTTTGTTTTGTGAATGAGAACGGTGCATGTGAGAAGAGAAGCAAGGAGAGAGTGAGAGAGAATACAGATGTATATTTATTCCCCCAATTTTCAAAGTGGATTCCTTAGTGTGGTGTGGCTCCATGATTTTTTCCTTGCTTTGAATTTTTCCATGTTAAATCCTGGTGTCATTTACTTTTAACTGCTTTTATTTTCTTGTTTGTTTATCTGTGATGTTTAATTCCACCCCCAACATAAATATGTAACCAAAATTTGAATAATTTACCTACTGCATTATGGCCAACACCAAATGGGAATACAAGAATCCAATTCTCAAGAAAGATATGACATATCTGTAGACAACTCATTAACAGCTCATTGACAGCTCAGCATTATAAACTAATCATGTGATTAGTTATAATGAAATGATATAAATATGTACTGTGTGCTCTATTGAAGGATTGAATACAAGAAACACATTCTATACTTTCAGTTTCACTTTATCTGTTTTCTGTAACTTCTCATGGTATCAGAGCGGGAGATTCTTTGTCTTTCGCTTCAGAATTTTTTTTAAAGATCTTTTTCGTCTGCTTCTTCTGAGATCTTCGTCGTCTCTCTTGTTCGGAATCATGAATCCGACGACTGATTCTTCCACAGCTCAGTCTACAAATGCTGCAGTTGCTGGGACATTTCTTGAAAATACGGTTATTCCATCTCAGCTTAAATTTTTTATGTCTAATATCAAAAATATTATTCGAATCCTCTGTCTGCCGATAATCATCCAACCTGGAA